GTAAACAACTTTATCAAGGAAAATCTGTGTATTTCTCTTCGCGCATCATACTTTCTACATTATTAGTCACATTTATTTATAAATATCATATAGTGAAAATCCGAACAATTTTTAAACGCCACTTAGTATGGACATACGCCAATATTTTGTATGGACCATCATTGCTATAAACCATTTGAGAGAGCGAGAGTAATATGATCGCGTGCAGTTGTTGTATAGACGCCCTAGCTTCTTAAGAATGTCTTTTTCGAGTCTGGATATAAGAGCAAATCAATTATTGGAAGATTAAGCGTTTGCACAAGTAATAGTTGATTTCGATGACTTGATCTACTCATTGCATTGTGTTGCCCATAAAAAAGTCTTGAACAGGACACCTTAATACGTTTATTACCATAACATTTTAAATCACATGCCATTTTTTAAATTATCTTTCTAGATTTATCGTTTAAACTAAAAAAATATTATCAGCATTTATACACCGTTCCGTACAAGTAAAAGAGGGATGCTGTACAAATTAACAGTTAGGAAAAACAACGCTATCTAATCTTCGACAAAAGAAACGTGACTCTCCGCCGAAGTTGGGGTACTTTGGACTTCGAAGGGCATCGGCTAAAGGCTCCGGAAAGCTTGTCGAAAGGACCCCTTACTTTTATAACTCGAGTACCTTCACCGCTTCGTAAGGAAGCCATAGTAAAACTTTCATATCCTGATAAATAAAGTTCGCAGCGAAGGGTACGAGGTGAGTCTTCATAATTAAGTTTTATTTTCGTTCAGAAATTTGAAATGCTTCTTAGCAGGTCGGCAACAAAGTAAGGCAAAACTGGAATAACATCGTAATAATACTACTAAAGAAATAATATCTAATTAACACTGAGTATTACTCGTTTAATGTTCTCACTTTTAATATAGTCTAATCGAGCAAACTGAAACTTGCTCGAGAAGACTATATTAAAAGTGAGAATACTTCGAATCCTATGAAATTGTTGTTTGTAATGAATGAATGTAATGTGTAATAAACACACCAAAAATAAAACAAAAAAATAATATTAAGTAATAATATGTCATGTAATGGAAAATTTCGGACTACAGATCTCCATGATCTGCGTATTTATGATAAAAATAAATAAAAAATATATCTGTCAGCTGTTGACGTTAAGCCGTGAAGTCTGCCAAACTACAGTAGCGTTGCCGACGGACTTTATTTACCTTAAACCCTACGTAATGAGAAGGTTTAGCAGTGGGTCATACTTTTATTATAGGCTGTTACTTTATGTTTTTTTTTTAAATAGGTAATTCCCTATCGTTTACATCAGAGATTTGTCAATAATACTTTTATACAAAAGCAGAGATTGCTTTAAGAATCTAGTGATATTTGGCATTCAATTTATGGATAGTAATAATAGTTTTTCCGGCATGTACAAACCATAAATGACCGTTATAAAACGTTGATTTCTTTGATCGTGCCATTTAAATAATAATTTTGTGAAACATATAAAAAAAAGGAATGAAAAAATGTAAACGCAAAAAGTTTTCATAATCTGCACGTGATCATTGGCACTAAGTAGAAGACAAAACGCCATAAAAACATTTAAAAAAAAAAACAAAATAGAAAAAAAAAAAACTCGAAGCCACCAAAGAGGTCAATGCACCGGGAAGACGGCATGGCACGAGCCGCACAGGTGTGCGGTCGATAGCATCGATTTGAAAGAAAATCGATGGGGGGTGACGTCACGGGCGAAGCAAATGGCGGCGGACGCGCAGCTGTCACCCGATAAAAAGCGTGTTATGCTAATAAAATAGGGTGATATTGCGAGGGGTTGCTCGAATATATATTTTAAATGCGCAAATATACATTTTTTAGATGCAAGATAGGGTTTCGAGTTAATGGACAAAGTGAAAGGTGCGTGCCCGAAACATTTGTTTCATTCGGTTTCATTGTTATTTTTTTTTAAATAAAAGGGTTTTAATTTTTACGAAACAAGTTTAACTGTAATGTAAACATTAAAATTCGCGTGATTTTCTTAAAGTTATAATTTAAAGTATCAACATTGTTGTCATCTTTAGGAGTATAATAATATATGTATAACTTTTATTGTATCTAAGGATTTTCAAGTTACGTGAACTTAGTTTGGATGATTTAAACAAGTAAAAAAAAACAACAAAAATTAATTTACACTATTAGCATTTTCTAAATTATCATTTTTTTATTTATCATGAATTCGTTAGATATTATAAAATACAATTGCTAACAAGTCATAGTGCCAGTATCAAATTCTCAAATTCATCAATTCATCTTGTCGTTTGCTTATAAATATATATTGATTCGGATAAACAAACGACAAGAGAAAAAAATTAAGAAAAATTAAAAACACATACTTGATCCTTTTAATTTATTTATAGGCATACATCAAGTACAAAGTCTATTTATAGTTCAGGAAACTAGGACATTGTGGATGTGGTCACAGGTGGCAACAACGGTCGACGAACGGTCAATGCGGTAGGTCCTTTCACAGGCACAAGCCTGCCCAGCTTTTTTACCGCATCCTGACAGCTAGCGGTTGATTGACTTTGTGGTTGATTCTCTTTTATTTTTTAGGAATTTATTCGCTTCTATATCGTTTATGCAGCTGTGGTCAGCCACCACTACAATCGGCAGTGGAAAGCGTACACTTTTAGTATGAGGAATTTACAAGATTTGATTTGTCAAGATCGTTTTTCATACATAGTATCTAAAGCGGTTAAGAAGTTAATAAATAGTAAGTAGAGGCTTTTACATGCCCCACAGCTGGGCAAAGGCCGCCACTGTACAGAGGTTCACCACGCGGCCCCTTGCGGGTTGCACATATCTTCGAAATATTTTGACAACTTTTACGCTTCCAAAAGTATGATTTAAAATAAAAATTAAGAGAAAAAGAAACCGGTAAATTTAAAAACATTGTATTGTTTTCAATATTGTGTACTTATAATTATCTATATATTAAAACGTGAAAACTTTGTACCCCTTTTTACGAAAATTGTGCGGACGGAGGACTATGAATTTCCTAATCATTAGAAATATTTTTTTAATTTATTATTTTTTTTCGAGAAGGAGTGCAGATAAAAGCACATAAAATCAATAAAAAAAGCATTACGCACACTATCATGTATAATTAATTATGGTCGAATTTCGACCACTGGGCGACCACTAGTTTGTATAATTCTACCGACGTTTTGCGAGGAATTCAACAACAGTTAAAATTCATATTATTTGGACCAACATAAATGCAAACGTTGTTACGATTTCATAAATTTTAACTATGTTATGTTAATGTATGTACCATGAAATTATAATTGAAATTGTAGATTTATAAAAATAAAAAAGAAACACTAAACAGAAATCGGCATAAAGCACTGTTTAGCACAGAATAAAACACTGAAATTAAAATACCATGTCGATCAATGAATATTTTATTTTAGAAAATTAATTTATATAATTTTTATGCAAATTAATTTCCGTGTTTTTATTTACTTAATATTTTTTTTACACAAATAAACAGTGTCTTTCTTTTATCTTTGTTTCTTTTAGGTATGTACTCTGTTTAAACATGGGCTACTATTGGCTGTGTTCGTTACTTATATTAATATTAAATTATAAAAATAAAGAATATGCAGGCTAAGAAGTTCTGTTCTGTTTGCGTCAGATCTGTTTTGGCCTTTATGTCCAGGATCGGCATTCTGTTGTAAATATGTAAAAGTGGCTCGCGTAAACACAAAATTAACGACGCTGGTGCGGAAAGGACGTGGTATAGGGGCGGCTACGACTACCGTGAGTATAGTGATGGGACACTGCGTTGAATAGTCGATAAGTACTTGATTGTTTGCGTTTGTGTTTTCGAATAATTGTTACTTAATGTTGTTGTCAAAACAATCGTGAGATCTAATATTAACGGTCAACATAAAATGGTCTTCTGAAAAATTAAGCATACGGATATGGTGCAAAGTATCTCATAATTCGGATCAGTAAACAGTTTAGTATTGGTAATATCCAACAACAATATTATTTTATTAACAATAATATTACTTGTTTCTGTAAATTTATACGATTTATTAAAAAACAGAGCGTATAATATAGTCAAGATTTGTGTTTAGAATCAATATACAGTTTAGTATAATGGATAATAAACAACGATTCTTTCTAAAAATGTCTAAATTTTAAATTATGAGTTATGAAAGCCGTGTGTGGAAACGAAATTATCGATATACAATATTTGATATTAAATACAGCTCTAGTATCCCTTTGTATTAACCAGGTGTTGGACTGGGTCATAGTGGGACCTCTATGCTATCTGTGGGTACGGTTTTTCGTAACGATAATCATTCCATATAACTAATTCTTTAATGACACATTTCTTGTAGCAGCTGACTCGTTATCTAAACTAGATTCCAATCATACTCGCGCGATAAGCAAATTTGTTTTGTTTTAGATTTTATAACAACACAATTACGTGCTGTTATTAAATTGGGGAAAACTACCCATAGCTTACTAAAGTAAAATTATCCAATTAGCTCGTGTTGAGATATGTTTTTCATTGATTAATTGTTAGTTAAACATTTCCTTCGTGCCTTTAGGCTATTAATAAGAATTTTTACGTATTGTATAACAGTTATTCATATAATTTAACATTTCGCAGTTCCATTTGTCAATAAGTATTATAAAAGAGACGGGGCTTTGATGTTTTAATTGCTAAGCTCCCGGCTGCTGTGTAGGACGCACTGAATGATTCAAGTAATGTAAAACCCAAAAGCTTTCGCAACAATCGGCCGGGAGTTCCAGCGTGAGGTGAGCACGCAAATAGCCAAGCGGCGGCAGTAGGACGGAGGGGCTGCACGCTACAATGTTACGGTCTACGCTCAGTAACAGCGGCCTTGTAGCAAAAAGCAAAATCCACTACCGCTTTCAACAGCCCCCGGTCCCAAAAAGGGCAGCGCGAGCAGCAATGAACGCAAAACTCTAGAGTCGGATGGAGATAGCTGTCGAAGCGCCGCGGGGTAGGTTAAGGGTGCATTGTGGAGAGCGTTCACGTCACGTTCGCTGGTCGCTGCGAAGAGCGACTTTATACCGAAGTGATAAGGTCCAATTTTACTTGGAGAACCGGCGGCGGATACGGCGTTCCGCCCGGGGCCGGCGAAAACAGGGGCTGCTCGCAGGACGTGGACCGAGGGACGGAAGGGTGCGCCGCGCAGGCGTGATTCAGTCGCCCGCGCGACCCCGTCGCCGCCGGTCGCGCGCCATGGACGAGACGAGAGTGCGAGAGCGCGCGCCGCTCACGGTCATAGTTGCCCCGAGCAACGTGTCCCCGCCCCGGCTCTCCCCTGCCGACCTGCTGCCCGACGGCGACGCGGCGTTCCACCCCCTGTCGGCCGTCAACGGGCGCCTCACGCCGCCGGGCCTAGAGCCCGCGTCCTACGCCACTCTAACTCCCTTGCTCCCCCTGCCGCCCATCAGCACCGTGTCGGACAAGTTCGCTTACCACGCCGGCGGCACGTTCACCGTTATCCAGCAGCAGCAGTCGTACGCGGCGCTCTCCCCTGCCGCTTACAACGAGCCCCTGTCGCCTCAGTCCGCTTACAGCAGACGGAGCGCGTCCCCCAACTCCTTTGAAAGGCGATCCCCGACGCCCCCCCTGCCGAGTCCGGGGTTAGACCTTAACGCGGCCCTTCTAGCTAGGGAGGAGCAAGCACAACAGCAGGTCCAAATTCATAACGACACAGAAGAGATCAACACAAAGGAGCTGGCGCAGAGGATAAGTGGCGAACTGAAGCGCTATTCAATCCCGCAGGCGATATTCGCTCAAAGGGTCCTGTGCAGATCACAAGGCACTCTCAGTGACCTGCTGAGGAACCCTAAGCCCTGGTCGAAGCTGAAATCGGGAAGGGAGACATTCAGACGGATGTGGAAGTGGCTTCAAGAGCCCGAGTTTCAGAGGATGTCGGCGTTGCGACTCGCAGGTATGGACCGCATGCCGCTTTCATTAGCAACATTTTTATATACATAGCATTCTTTTATGTTTTTACTAACCGACTTCAAAAGGAGTAGGTTCTCAATGCGACTGTATTTTTTTATGTTTGTTACCTCAGAACTTTTGACAGAATGAACCGATTTTGACGATTCTTTTTTTATTTGAAAGCTGACGCTTCCCATGTGGTCCCATATTAATATCATTGGTATTGGATTTTGGGTTACGGAGATACTTAGGGAAATCAATTATAAAATGAATACAGAGCGAGATATTTGAAGTCGGTTTTGTTTTTCGTTAGTGAAAAAATGGTTATAACTTAATAAAGACATAATTAATACCTATATCGCTTAATTGAAACGGGTTATTCCACGCATATTTACACGTTTTAGGCAAATATCTTTTGTTCCCTGGTTAAAACATGTATCTGTAGTTGTATATATACGGTATGCGTCGTTAATGGTTTTTCATTGTCGCGATGTTCGGCTGTTTTTCTTATTCCATCGACAAAATATTTGGCTGTTCTTTAAATGTGAGTTTAGTTCTAAAAGTTCAGCCGACGCTCCGTCGTCTTTGAAACACACTATGAATATTATTCTTAAAATGGCTGACTGACTTTTTCGGAGTTAAAGTACACACTGGAACTAGGTTATAGCTACAATCCCAATTAATTATATGATTAATTAAATGGGATAGCTATATTTTCTCGGATGTATATATATTTTCGATTCTTTCTGATTTTTACATACTTGTTGAATAGACCAAGATTGTCAATTTCCTCTAACAAAAGTGAAAACATAACTACAGTAAATAAAGTATATTTAACGCGTTAAATACATATTTTTTACTGTAGTTACTGTAGTTTATATAAAGTATATTTGACGCGAACTATAAAGTAATAAACACAGGTTGCTTGGATTTACTTGCAACGTTACTATATTATTCAAAAATATTTTAACCGCATTTATCTTATACATAAACTTACAACAATTGTTTTATGTACCTATACAACATAAACAAATAAATGACAACAAATAAGCAAACATAACGAACTATAATTTAATAAAGGCTCACTCTACATTGCTCTACAATTTGTGCACTCTGCCCGAGAGAGAGCTTTAAACTTCAATTGTTAAAAAAAATATAAAAAATATATTTGCCTTATGTACAAATAAGTTTAATAAATCGTTATTTATATCACAAATAAAAAAAAAAACGCGAGCCATTGCCGAGTAAGTAAGCGCGGATCCTGTAGCAAATTCTTTCAAACAGCCATTGATCTGCTATGGGTTTTTAAGTACAAACAGGTAAGAAAACAATTCAATACCCTTTCTTATTTAATAAGTTTCACTCAAAAAATCAAGGCTCAGGCAAAGATGAGTGGATTTAAATACGGGGGGCCCGTAGCAATTGCTACTCTTGCTTGGTTAATCCGACACTGACGCGAACTATAAAGAACAGAATTGGTTTTAGTAAAAAAAAATTTGCGATTGAGGTAAATCCGATTAAATTCTGTTTACCGGGTCTAGCATTCATCATGGAACGATTAAATATGTCAAAATATAGATCGAAATCAAATGGAAATGAAGAAAAACGCGGTCGAGTGGAGGTGATTAAAAATGAATGTTTCATCTTCTAGGTAAAAAACTAACAAGGGATAAATTTAGTACGGTAGCTTGTCTACAAATATTTGTACCAGTTTTCGTCATTAAATATGCCACCAGCAATGTACGTACGTGTAGTCGGTATATCAAGAAGTACTGGGGGTACTTACACCAGAAATATAAACTGCTATTCATTGAGGTAGATTTATTGCAGCTCCCTTCACGTCCGATTTTATTTAATGTATTCAAGAATACTGTAAAGTTAAAATGTTTCATTTTGATTTCTTATTTGAAAAAGTCACGTGTAACCTTTACAAGAATTTACTAATGCCTTACCATTGATGTTTGTTAATTCCAAATTATGTTAAATTTTAGTTAACTCATATATTATATTTCATGAAGAGGAAGCAACTGTTATTTTACGCTTTATAAGTTGAGAATTTATAATATGATTCGTTCATTATACAAAAGAATACTCATTCTAAAGCCCACATAAAACACAGTCATCACTACAAGTAAATTTTATATAAATTAAGTTATTTTAAGAGAAAGACAAAATACTTTTTTTAAGTTTTAAGATAAAAACAGAGTAAAACAATACTGCTTGGAATAAAAGTTATTTTAAGCAGTATTGTTTTAGTCTGTTTAAAGAAACATTAACTTAAAAAAAAAAAACAAACATTACTGCTTAAGTATTTGAACCCGGGTAGATAGAGACAATAACCCACTTTATTTAGCTTAAATTAAACTTTATTTTAAACATGAAATACGGTGAGTTTGTCGCCCATCATCGGTATAAATGTGATGTTACAAGTTTTTCCCTTCAAGAAAATCGAGTAATGGGCTTCCTCGAGCGAGCCGGAGTGCCCAGCCACTAGTTACACCTAGGAACTAGGTGACCTAGTTGCTCAGACCTCTGATTATATGACATTCAGTTGGCGTATACGTTCTTAATATAACGCATCGTTTGTTAATAATTTAAGTACATAATGAATAGTCATTTTGAATGGTGCCGGTTTTGTATGTAATAATTAGATAACGTTTAGATTTAGGTTTTTTTAAATTTGAAAATGTTTAGTGATTTATTTCTGTCACCTCTAATACATAATTAGTATGTACTCTTCGGTCGTAAATTACGACAAAAATTAAGTCTTACCATATTCACTTACGTATGCTATTCACTTTTGCAAAATCAAGTCATCTATTTTCTATTTATGTATGTTACACGATAATATTTATATAAATAGGTAATTAAGAATAGTCATTTTAACAGTAACAAAACCAAGCATTATGACATTAATGATGTTGGGTAGTGACTTTATTCAAAAATTTGGTAAAGAACCGAAAAAACTATTTCAGTTTTAAGTGGTGGTGAATGGGAAATAGAATTTTTTTCATTCTGCGTACCTTTCGGGGAGATGGAATTGATTTTTCTTTTAAATAATATTTTACCCGCTGTAACATTGGCTGATCGGATGTTACAGAGGAGTTTAACTGACGTACAATGTACCGTGGTATTTCGAAATACCAAGACCTGGAATAGGTATCTGTAGGTCACACACATATTCTTTACGGATGGGGATTGAGTCCACGACCCCAAGCAACGATATATCACTTAGAAACAGTGTCAATCGAGCCAACAAAATGAAAATATGTGTGTTTGAAAGTTTAAGTTAAGAGTAAGAGTTGTATGTGTGAGTACCAGACCAACAACGTAAGGTATAGTCTAGGCTTGAAGTTTCTCATGGCAGTCCAACAGGTTTACCGTTAACCTTTGGACCATAGCCAATTACATCGGCCGTGGTGAACTCTGCTCTATATAGAAAATTAATGTTTTTTTCTTAATCCCTGTGTGGTTAAGCTGGTAAAAAGGCTACGGTTCTTTTTAGAACGACGCTTTTAAAAGCCTCATTCCCAACCGTTATATTATTAATTAGACTATATTAGATTGGAAATATTAATTGTATTTTAACAAGACTTTCACTCCTGGTATTAATTTGTCCGTTATTTCTCACTATATCACTTAGCGAAAATTAACTGTATTCAAGCGCGTTGCTGTTGACCACCTGCTGAAAAATCAACCAGCACAATAACAGGAAAACCCTGTTATAAATTCACTAATAAATAAATGCTAGACAGGCTTAAAATCTATTTAGTTTTTTAATCGATGCTGTGCAGGTTATTTTGTAATTTATTAAAATATTGTGTTCAAAACGTCTCTAAGTTCCTCGCTTTCAGATGATATGAAACATTCTTTAGTTAGGAATCAATTCGTAGTACGAGTAAATTAAAATATTATTATTATATAGCGATGACTAAAAGTTTAATGTTAAATAACAAGAAGAATGAATCTTTTTGTCACATATTTTTGAATGCACAAATAACCGCGTTACGAAATCCACATCCCAGTGACGTATATCATCGCGAGCCCTTCAAATTTGAAATGTCGATAAAACCCGCTCGCCCGACGTAGTCTAACGTCAGCTGCCGGCATCGATTGCCGAGAATCGATAGCGCGGGGACGTGCGGTCGATGCTAGCACGTCACTAGGGCGCACGGTTCGATATACATTGCGTCGCGGCTGCGGCCTGCATTCGTAAGTCGAGCGGGCCGCGTGGCAATGGTTGCGTGGTAATGCACGCTCTGTGGAAGCCCCAAGTGACGTACGCGTTCTAGTGTCACAACACGACTATTGATCAGGCCTGTTATTAAAATGTCGTAGGCCTATCGCTGTCAAGAATAAATGTGTTTGTTTTAGTTGACAAGATAAAATAAGAAGTTTAGTAACCACAAGGTACTTATCACTAGCACTTATGTGCATAACAATAACGAACTACTATATCGTGTCTAGGTCGTTATTTTGTAGGTTCAGGTACTTTATATAAATAATATAAAGTACTTGAACCACTATAAAAAATCTTCTGCGATTACAACTTCATAATCTGACAACCATGACCTAAGATGTGATTGTGATGACCTGGTTATAACGTACGTACAGCAACTTTTACTATAGCTTCATTAGCTACAAAATATTTGCTCTTGTGGTGTGCTCCAGGGAACTTAAGGTGTCAATTCATTAAGGAAATAGCTGGCTAACTTGATAGCTACGCCGGAATTTATTCTAATGTCAGCAAGTAGTGGTGGCTGGGACATCGCCTAGATATCCAAGAAGTCGATTAAGAGTCTCTAAATCGTATTGATTATCGTCTTTTGAATTTATGACATTTAACTATGGGAGGGCCATGCTATAGCTTCTGTTGTTTCACGAATGCAGTCCGGAGCAGTACCACAGCTGTTCTGAAGACCAGCGTGAAGTAGAGTATTATACTTTTGCATGTCGTCTAGTAGATAACCGAGCTCACTGCTTTTAAAGGTGGGCAACGATGTC